ACCATTTAACACTCTGTCCCTGGGGCAGGTGGCAAACACTACACCGTCCGGTCAAACAGCACCGCCTGCCCCCAATGACACACTTTCTTCTCAGCCCACTCAGAGTATGGACTGCATGGAGAGGTGCTGTGTGCGAATAGACAATCATCTCTTGATTTCCAAGGTCTTCTACTTCTTCTTTTACTCCGCCTATGGCTCTTTACACCCCTTGCTTGCCGTGTACTACAAGCAGCTGGGAATGACACCCAGCCAAAGTGGCCTGCTAGTTGGGATCCGTTATTTTATTGAGTTTTGCAGTGCGCCTTTCTGGGGAGTAGTGGCGGACCGCTTCAAGAAAGGAAAGGCGGTGTTGCTATTTTCTGTACTCTGCTGGGTGATCTTTAACTGCGGAATTGGCTTCGTCAAGCCAGCTGCTATGACCTGTGTCAGTAAGGACCCTACTGTTGAGGCACCAAACAATTTTACAAACGATACGCAAACTGGTAACCGTACCAGACAACGAAGATACTTGATTGAGGATATGTACTCTGCTCCTCGACTTTCTCAGCCAATATTAGCAGCATATGGACCTCACTCTAGATCCATTCGAAGTGCAAATGTAAATACCACAGGCACTCCCTCTGGAAACTCCACTGAGAATCCTGTTGGCATTTCGATGCCTTCTAACTCGACAACAGTGTCGCCCCGTACCTCGACACTTACGTCAAAATCTACCTCGACAACTGAAACACAAGCTACCACTGCCAAACTCAAAGAGAATATCATAGTCTTTAATAAGGAGCAAGTAGATACTATATTTCTCTTGATCCTCTTGGTCATTATTATTGGTGAGTTCTTCAGCGCCCCAGCTGTGACCATTGTGGACACTGTCACTCTTCAGTACTTGGGCCAACATAGAGATCATTATGGACTCCAGAGAATGTGGGGATCTCTGGGATGGGGTGTCGCTATGCTGTCAGTAGGCATCTGGATCGACCACACACACATCACAATCTTCATCCAGGGTTCGGGTTGTGACCAGCCCGATTACAAAAACTACCAAATTGCATTCATAGCTTTTGGAGTCCTGATGACCGCAGCACTTATTGTGGCAACGCAGTTCCACTTTGACAACAGGGTTTATCGGTCAGATGAAGAAGAGTACAAGAAGGAGGATGTGGAAATACCTCAAGTCCCTCCAGAGTCCAGTTCAGATGATGCACCGGTGTGCTCAGAAAGCAACCCACAACCTTTTCCCTTCAGAGATCTCTTCCGGATCATTTGTGGTGTTCGCTATGGTACGGTTCTCTTTGTGGCCTGGTTCATGGGGTTTGGTTACGGTTTCGTGTTCACCTTCCTCTACTGGCATCTGGAGGACCTGAAGGGAACCCCCACTCTCTTTGGCATCTGCTCGGTGCTCAGCCATGTGTCTGAGCTGGCTGCTTATTTCATCAGCCACAAACTCATTGAGCTTGTTGGACACATCAGGTGGGAACCTAATTATGTAAAATATATTAGCATAATTTATACTTAACTGCACTTGTATTGTAAGTTTATCTACTACATTTACATTTGGAAAGTGGACTTGGATTATTCATATTAATTTAGGGACGTTACATGCACTTAGAAGTCATTTTTGATTTGTTTTAATGGCAGGTATGCATTGCAGATGCTAGACAAAGTAGGATAACCACTTACCGCTTGTACATTGGTTCAGTCCACTTTCCAATGCAAGTAGTTGGCTGAGGTTTCTCTTGTTTTTTGGTACATTCATACTAACTGCAATTTGTCTAAACCATGAGTCATTCAGTTTCAGTGAGAGTAGACAATTGAGCACACTTCAACTTATATACAAATAAGCAATGGCAACTAAGTGCAGACCGTGTTCTGATAGAGTTGGATACTAAGGTCAGGTGAGAACCAGTTCACACAGAAAGTGGTTTTGTGTTCCACTCTGCTGTTAATTGTTGAACTAGATGGACGTATTTAACTGGTGCATCGTGTCTTGCTACTTTTAGCCCCATGTTTTTAAGCTGTTCTTAAATGCAATAATGCTTCCTGTGTGAACGGACCATAAGAATGCCTATGTAGACTCTGCGACTTCCAGCAATTTAATCGCTTTCATTGTGAACACCCTTGTATGTTGCCAGTTACAGTTGTTTCTTTAAACTGTACCCAAGCAAAATATAGCTCTTAAAATATGATAATTGTTGTCCAGAGTTTGGGCAGGATGAATGACC